AAGAGAGCAAGAGGACGCGTTCTTTGTAGCGAAGAAACGGTGAAGCAAATTTCATCGCTGTAGCTACCGTGCTATCATCTAGATTAGAGTTTTAGGCGACGTAGAAGCGCGAGAATTGTCGCGTGTATATGTACCTACACACTCACTTTGTGACACGTTGAGGAAAAATGATCGACTAATTTGTTCGGTGTGTCCATCGTTCGATCCCTTTACGACGTACGCGGAAGAAGACGAAGTCTGTACATAGTGATATGATAACGCCGAGGTACACACACAGCTCCCTCCCAATTGTTGTATCATAATAATAATATTAATAATAATAATAATAATAAAATAATAACATCAGTAATGATAATGAATGCATACGGCGCGATCGCGAAACGTCGAGCTAAAGGAATAAAGAAAAAAAGGAAGGAGAAGATGAGAAAAAGAAGCGAAACACTCTATCTAACGAAACGTGATTATTATCCACGAATACACGCTCTGTTAATGCGATTAATTAAAAAAAAAAAACAAAGTAACTGAAAATTAATTATAGCGAGCGAAAGCATACCACGCCTACAGTAAAAACTACAGATGTAGCATACACGATAATATTATTATCAAAACAGTTCAATGTAAATTGTTATTTTTGTTGAAATAAAAATCACCTCCGTTATAATAACGAGCATTCTCTCGCTTACTATATCTCATTTCTCTCGAAAAATAGAATACGAACTCGAGCGATTTTGCAAAAACTACAAATCTATTTAGCAAATAAAAAAACCAGATATAAACGCGCAAGTAATTAATTAAAAAGCAAAATTAACATTATAAAATAACTTTTTTTAATGATTATACAATTGTGAGTTTATATATTTGGAAATGGTTACTTTATTTCTTAATAATTGAAACAAGATGCCGTTTCTTTCTATGGTATAAGATAAAATTTACGAATAATAGTTTTGTCGCTTTTTAGACGAAAACTGACTATAATTATCAGATTGATTTCTCTTTATCACTTTATTTCGTTTTTATATAAAGCGCATACAAAATATATATACGTTATGAATATTGTCGCTTCGTTGAACAATAATGCAAACATTTCCATTGAAATTTCTATTATGCAAAATATAATAATTTATGTATATAAACTTATATTTAACTTACATACAAAAAGGGAAATATTTGCGTACTTCGTGATAAAAATTCACTCTCGTCTTATCCATTAAAATTACGAAGCATTGTACAATGAAGAGTATAAGTTAACAAGGCACTTATATGTGAAAAAAGATATAAGTGCATTGCAATATATATATAGATGAGAAGCAGATATAACTTTATAAAATACTATCTACCTAAAACTGTATCTATTTAACAAAACCAATTTGTTCATAGGAATCTCGTCATCAACATTATAATTGAGTTAATACTGTGATATCTATAAGTGATATCTATACAGTAAGAAACAAGGATACAATCAAATGATCAGGTAAGTTAAATCATGCTCTATTGAAATTTTAATAGCAATAATAGCTGTCTTCCGATTGCTTCAATTATATATAAGTTAAAATACTTATATAGACTTTATATTTTTTTAACTTTCAAGCATATTTTAGATCTATATAATAGCTGTCTTATTTATCACTTTCCGAATTAATAGCATTCTCTCCACTTAACAAAAAATAGAGGACTATCAATCATGTAAATTATACATGTATATTGCGTGTCCCATTTTAAACAATCTTTCTTTCCTCCACAAAAAAAAAGAAAAGAGAGGGTGATTATTTAAAATGGAACACCCAGTATATGAAAATTCGAATGTGTGTGTGTACAAATATTCCCCTATAAATATATATACAATATATATCATTGGAATTATATATTATAATTGGCAGCTCTTTTTGTATCTGCGCATTATCCGTTGTATCGAGCTACTAACAATAAGAGATAAATAAAATAAGATTATTTCTAGTTAATGTTTTCCACATACCCCGAGATATTCGTAAATAATTTATTCTTTGTTCTCAAATGGATGGATGAATCAGATTAATATTCGTATCTCTTATCAGTCAGTACATAGTTTTTACATTGACCATTTGTGGCATTATAGTGCATAGTTTGAACACAAAAATTTACTCTCTTTTTTCAGCTTCATATTCAAATTAGTAATTGTTTAATAAATTAATATATCTACTTTTATCTCCAAACCGGATATATTAAATAAACCGGATGCATATAATTACAATAATATTTATAAATCTCTTTCCAAAAATGTTTCCTTCCACATGTTTCTGTATCTACAATCATATAGTTACAATCTGTACAAATATTTAATAGAATTATTGCCATGCATTTATAAAGAATGAAATTGTTTACATTACTATTGGAATACACATTGTTTTGTATTGCATTTTATTTTCAAACGATTATTAATGTCACAGCAATATCTGTGTGTTTATCTAAAAACAAATTTAACATTGCATTTAAAAATATTGTCCTTTTTTAGTACAATGTATATATCTTATGAATAGACATATCTATATTTTTAAATCGGAGTATATGCGAATTATGAATTATACATATCTTTTTTTACTTAACAAGCTCGAAAAAGGAATTTTTTTATAAGACATCTTCAAGTTTGATAAGAAAGTATTAATAATTTCTCAAGAAATATACATATATTCTATTATTTGCCAATTCAACACTGTAATTTGTGCAGATTGTTTAATATTGAACGAATAATTGAAGATACACAATGTGTGCTTATATGATACGTAAAATATTGAAAGATTAATTGACATTTTATGTGCACAATAATTATCATAATATATTGATAGAGGTAGTTTTCCTTCATGCATTTTCCAACAATGAGACAATAGTTTTAAAATAGAAATATTATTAATATTCCATGCCTAGCTGCGATATGATCATTCAATTCCTAAAACTTGTGAATACTTGTATACACATTTATTCTTGTTGCTAACATACGTGTAGCAAAAGTATCACAGAATACGATGCTTTACTATTTGTTCTCGAAAACATGTACTTACAAAAATACTGCATTGTTTAATATTAATTATATATATGGGCGTATAAATATAGCAATTAATATAGGATTGCGAATCCAAGTCTCATCTCTTCGTGTACGCGATAACATTCGTATGAAAATATACTACACACTTTTTATCCTAAATTTTTACATTATTTTACATTAATATCCTTAATATTAATGTAAAATAATATAGCATAAGAGTATAATTTATATTAACTAATATATTAATAAAGATATATATAATGAATTTGTGTGTGATGTATATACATACAATAGGCAAGGCAGGTTCTGTCTCCATCTACTCTTTTTCAGTAATAATACATTCGATCGTCCTATAGATATCTGCGTTGAACATAAGTGACTCGAACGCGATAAAAATACCGATACTTGAAATATCATCATTCATAATATGAGGTATATAATATGTTCCACAGAATAGCTGCGGTCATGAGACCCGTAAAGGTGAACATGCTGGCCCACCAAATGACTTTCTCCCAAGTTTGTACTTCGAGATTTCGGAGAATGTTTATGCCGACTAGAAGTCCCGCTATAGCGCCGGCCAAATGGGCCACATAGCCGACCTGGTCGTTAGTGTCAAGGACATAACGATTGTATACGGCCTGACCGACGTCGACGCTCGTGACAACGAGGAATACTAATAGCTGCAGGACGGCAAATTCCATTTGTGACCAATTCATTATGATAGTCGCCACGTGAGCGGTGATCAATGCGTACACACCGCCCGATGCACCGGCCAAGTAAACCGTCGGATCCGAGACGGATGTACCGAGTGAGCCGGCCGCTACTCCGGCTATGTATATTATCAGTACTCTCCACCATTTGTGTACCATCTCCAGTGGAATACCCAACATAATTTGTACCAGTAGGTTAACGACCAAATGAAAGATTCTATGGAATATAAAAGATAGAGATTTAGAAATACATTTAAAAAAAGAAAATAAATAAATAAATATATAAATAAACTTTTGCGACTAAAGCGGGGACTTATATATTACAACTCGATGAAGGACTGACGTTTTGAAGATTAAAACCGTGATACGGTATCGCTAATCCGCTCGAAGGATCATCGAAGACCGACTATTTTTTTACATTTATG